GCGTCTTTGTACATCATATGAAATGAGAAAATAACAACTGATGGTATAGTATGTCCCGAAGGGGGTAGAAGCAATAAAAGAGTATATGGTCTTACTCACGTTTTCAAGAGCTATGGACTTAGCTCTAGTGTTGATAACGTACAGTGGTATAATCCCCACTTATGGGATACGTGAGGTCTTAGTATTCTTTCTTGATTAGGGAACCATATGTGGAAATAAAAGTGGGAACAACAATGGTGCTCAAAGTATAAAATGCCAGAGGTGAGTTAGCCATCTTACTTTTTATTACTATTATTATTTTACTTTTTTACTACTTCCATCCTTTTATCCGGCACCAGAAGTGTTTTTACTTTCCAGTGAGGATATTACTCCCAAGAATCCTAGGTGGGGATTATACCACTCAAGCTGTATTCATTGAACAGTTAGTCTGTTCAACTAAATGTGAGTAACGACTTGGTTTTTTATCTTCTCACCTCTGGCATTTTATACTTTGAGCACCATTGTCCAACTATAGGTTCCTGAAATTTAAATTTTTTATTATTATTATACCTATTATTATTATTTCCATTATAATTCTTAGGTATATACGTGGAGTTAGAGTTCCTAGAGTAATTTCTTTTATGTTTAGCAAATGAGCGAACTCTGTCATGAGCATAATCATGCTTATCCCTAATATATTTACTTTTTTTAACGGAAATAACCTCTTCCTCCTGTTTATCAACGTTTTCTTGGACTCTTTTTTGACCAAGTGGCCTAATCATGTATATTTTGGAGAAGGTTTCCTCTGTAGTTCAGAGATAGTGTCACGCCGCCGTTGGGACCACTCCTGCCAGAGAGCGGTATGGCTGGCGCGTCTCGTCACGGTGGCATTCCCACATCGCAAGGGGAATGCCGCCGAATTCTTACACTGTCTCAAGGTGCCCGCCGGGTCCGCTCCTGCCCTTGAGCAGACTGGGACCCGGAGGGCACATCTCATCGCGGTGGCATTCCCACGTGGTAACGGGAATGCCGCCGATCACTCTACTGTCCACTGACAGGCACTCCTCCCCTCACACATCGGCCGGGTCTGTAATTATTAGAGCCGCTGGCCGCTGCAAGTAAGAACCTTCTAAGGTTCTTACTTAACCCTTTGAGTGTCTAACTATGGGAATGTGTGTGTGTGGCATCACACACACACGTTCACTGTCACATGCTCCCCTGCAACCAATTAAGGAGCACCTTTTGGCAATTTAAATCTTTTTTCTTCATTTCTCTGTGCCCTGTTATGGTTTCCATTCTGCCTATCCAAAAGCGCGTTTCTGGTATTATTTCTGGTGTCTTTCTTACTGACTATTCTGATCTCTCTATCCCTTGAACTTTGGCTTGGCTCCTGACTATTCTGACTTCTATATTTCTTGACCTTTGGCTTACATACGGTTTACGTAATATCTGTATTCTTGACCTCAGCCTGTCTTGTACTTTTCTTTTTATACGTTAAATCCGGCCGATAATACGCCTTAGGGTTTTCTTTATTTTTACTTAAGTTCTGCGTGTTGGGCATATTAGTGTATCCTGACAGATAGCCTTGAAGTCTTTGTGTCCAAGTCTTTTTTTTTTTTTTTTTTTGCCACAGAAGGATAACGTTTGAGCAATTCTGGACTTTTTCTTTCTGTGTATTTAATTCAAATACTATTTTTAAAACCTTGTGCATACAAAAAGACTGTTTTTTGTTATTTTACATTTATTGCATTGAATTTCACATTACATCCCTGCTTGGTTAATACTGAAACACTGAGCAAATTATCTACAAATTCAAGTTAGTTTGCACTTTGTTGTTTAATGTCTTTGCTTTTGCAACACATTTCAAGAAACCAACTCCTTGTCCTTGTGTAGACAGTTTGTTGCCATTAGCAATGATCACCATGTCTGTAAAATTATTTTGACACTCTTTAAGAAATTAGAATCTTTGCATATACCGTATATACTCGTGTATAAGTCGATCTCATGTATAAGTCGAGTGCAGTTTTGTGACCAACAATTGTGAAATATGCTATGTCTTGTGGATAAGTCGAGGGTAAAACTTGGGGCTATGAAATTCTGTAATTTTTATAATTATATACACACACACTCATACAAACACACACTCTGCATTATATACACACACACACTCATACAAACACACACTCTGCATTATATACACACACTCTGTGTATATAATGCAGAGTGTGTATATAATGTAGTGTGTGTGAACTGGGTGGGGGGAGGGCATTTTTATTATTTTAATTTTTTTATTTTAATATTATTTTTCTATTATTTTAATTTTTTTTTGTCCCCCCCCACCTGCTTGTTAACTGGTCAAGGAGGGGGGCTATCTTAATCCCTGGTGGTCCAGTGGCATGGGCTGTGAAGTGGGTGGGGCCGGCAGGAAGCATTTACTTTCCTGCAGCTCCTTTCTCCTCCATTCCGGTCAGCTCCACTGTAAGTCTCGCGGTCTGGTTGCCGCGCGGATCGTTGCCATGGCTCTGACGGCCGCGGCTCTCTAAGTTGCCATAATACAGACAGTGACTTGAGTATAAGTCGAGTGGGGGTTTTTAAGCACAAAAAATGTGCTGAAAAACTAGACTTATACTCGAGTATATACTGTATGCAATTTTTACACTTCTCAATAATCCAACAAATTTTTTTTATAAATATAACTGAATTTTTCTTCAACAATAAAAGTGTTTTTAACTGTGTTCTCTTCTGCTATGTAGAGACATTTTCTTGTCTATGGTAGTCTTTTAAAGCCGTTTCAAGCAAGATTACATTTATCTCCAAAAATAAAAAATCCTCTATTTTTACCGTTTTGTGTGCATATTTATTATATTTGATATGCATCTCAGTGTTTTGTATTGCAAATGCTGGCGTTGCATATTCAGCTCTCCCTACTGACTTTCCTGCTGTAACAGGTTCTTTCCAGATTATATTGCATGAATTAATGAATTGTAGTTTTCTGGAAGACTTGATAGAATCTGAATCACATAGTTTTCTTCATCGAAATTCGTTTCAATGGAATCTAAATGATCATTTGAGTCAGATGTTTCTCAAGGTCTCTTCCCTCAGACATCTACATGTTAGAACAGTTTTCTTGGTAAATAAAGTCTTTTATTTACACTTCTTTTGACAAGGTAAAAATAATCAGAGTATAGGCTGCACAATCTATTTGCAAAAACCTGAAGGAAAAAAAAAAAAGTATCAATCAAATGGACAAAAATAATATACAATGTTTTGACCAAGTGGCCTAATCATGTATATTTTGGAGAAGGTTTTCTCTGTAGATCAGAGAAAGTGTCACGCCACCCGTTGGGACCGCTCCTGCCAGAGAGCGGTATGGCAGGTTCTTTCCAGATTATATTGCATAAATTAATGAATTGTAGTTTTTGGGAAGACTTGATAGAACCTGAATCCCATAGTTTTCTTCATCGAAATTCGTTTCAATGGAATCTAAATGATCGTTTGAGTCAGATGTCTCCTCCCTACTTACACACAATTTTTCTACACCTTTGCATAACATTGGCTGCTGTAAAGTTTGTAATGTGGCATTAATCACTGTACCTCACATAACTGGAGATACCAGCTCTTGTTTCTCTGTCTTTGTTTCTACAGCTGGGTTCTTTCTGTATCAACCGCTGATGAATCTTTTTCACAAGTTCATTCTGCACCTTCCATACCAGGTAATTTGTAGATGTAAAAACAGGGACAGCAACTCTCATAACATCTGCAGCTCCAGTGTATGTGGTAGCTTTTATTCTGGGCCCATAAACCAAATATTACAATTTAGCAGAGATGTTTTAGCGCAGGAGCAGCATGTAGAGGTGTTGTAGGACACATATATGAAGATCTCACAGGCAAAATGGCAGCAAAGTGAGATAGATAGAGAGAGGAAGGAAGGAAAGACAGAAACATAATGTACTTCCTCTCAGCTTCACATTAGCTAGTCCTTCAAGACATTTATATTAGTTACTAGATATATTAATATCACAAAAACCACGTGACTGTAAAATAACCTTCCCAAGCTGATAACAAATTAAAAAGAAAATGTTTATAAAGAAATACACACAAACGTCAATTTGGATCACACCAGGTTACATACATGTTACCTATTAGCATTACTGCTCCTGTTGCTAACCTTTAACCTGCGATGTAATCAGAAAACCCCTGAAAGGGACATTGCTTTTGTCATTGTGTTTGCAATGTTCACCTATTAAGCTTGAGATCACATTATGATTAAAATGATATCACAACTTAGGCTTTATTTTAATTTGATAATGTATTCTGGTTCCTATGGTGTTACCATACATTTTGGATTGTTATTGTGTTGAAAAGACTCCCATGATATTGGCTGAAATTCATAAAATCTTAGTGGTGGGATGCCAATGCTGGATTGTAACTCACCCTGAACTGAATTACTTACTTAAAGACAAGGGTTAAACTCATAATTCTGCAGCATTTCCATAGACTTTAAAAACACTACTTAAAGTCGACTAACCTCTGGATTAACATTTTATGGGGGCAATAACATCCATCATCCTTGAGCCTTTGGCTTTCTCGGTATGCAGAGTGTGTAGATCAACAACAAACAGAGAACCCCCAACTTTGCAAAATGTTCCATTATTCAAAGAAGACTGAATAAAATCTAACACAAACTTTTTTGTTTGTTTTTTTAATGTCCTTAACTTTTAACATTTAAAAAGTCTATGCAGATACATACTCTAGTGATTTGCACCATGTTTGCTTAGCTAAACATATTTTATAAAAATATGGCCAGAGGACTACATACGTTTTAATGGCAACAGAGTTGTTATAATACAGTAATCTCAATTGTACACAATACATTATGATTTCTTTTTTCAAATGAGTTTATAAAGTGCATATTAATAGGACACAAAAGGAAATACAAAATTATATACAAAATGTATACATTTACATATATATTAAGGTTTTTCATTGACAGAACCACTCACAAAAGTCCACATGTCACTCCAGCATCTTCAGAGTGGTCACAGTTATGAACATTCCATCGTATATAGGAACACTGCAAGATTGAGCTTTCATTGCCCCGACATTTCACATTGTCAAGAAAAATGTAGCCTATACCTTGTCCATACCCTGCTTCTCCTCGAGCTTTGACGGCAGCACCACAGCCTAAAGATCGGCATGCTACATTTGCAGCCTTCATGTCCCATGCATCATCACATACTGTTCCCCACTGCAACAGGAAAAATATTTCCAAACGTCCTTCACAACGATGGCTACCATTTACCAAGCGAATCGACCCTAGAAATAAAGTTCATAGTTACATAGCTGAAAAGAGACTTGCGTCCATCAAGTTCAACCTTCCTCACATATGATTTTGCTGTTGATCCAAAAGAAGGCAGAAAACACAGTCTGAAGCGCTTCCAATTATGCAACAAACTAGGAAAGAATTCCTTCTTAACCCTAAAATAGCAGTCAGATGTCTCCTTGGATCAAGTAGCTATTACCCCACTAATTAGAAATTATATCCCTGTATGTTATGTTTTTGCAAGTATTTATCCAATTGCAGTTTAAACATCTGTATGGACTCTGATAAAACAACCTCTTCAGGCAGAGAATGCCATATCCTTATTGCTCTTACTGTAAAAAAAACCTTTTCTTTGCCTTAGATGAAATCTCCTTTCTTCCAGCCTAAATGCGTGACATTGTGTCCTATGTATAGCCCTGTATATGAGTAGATTTCCAGATAATGGTTTGTACTGGCCCCGCATATATATTATGTAAAAGAAAAATAGTTTTCTTTAAATCAGAAAAGGTGCAAGCCCTCTGTTATGACATGCATCATAGAAATCAAGTTAAGCTTTCTGGAGACAAAAAAAATAACTTGTAACTTTCAAACTTTTTAAAGGAACACTATAGTGTTAAAAATACTGCCCCCCTTAAATATAGTCAGTCTTACCTTTTTTCCAGTCTGCTGCTGCAGGCTCTGCCCATGATCTGCCTGCTTAGCTGACATCATCAGAAGTGGTGATCTCAGCCAATTACAATGCTTTCCCATAGGAAAGCATTAGATTGGCTGAGACTGTCAAGTAGACAGATTAGGGGCAGAGCCAGCACAAGCCAAACACAGCTCCGGCCTATTTGCATCTTCTCATAGAGGTGCATTGAATAAATGCATCTCTATGAGAAAAGTTCTGTATCTCCATGCCGAGGTTGGAGACACTGAATGTCAGTGCTGCACAGTGGGATACAAAAAAACGGGAAAAGCTAGACAGATTGTATTGGTATGGTATGGTATGCTATTATTAAGAGCTCAGATTAGGCATGTTGCTAGCAGAGTGAACATATAATGGTAAGGGCTCAAGGTGACCCAGCAGTCTTAGTTCACATTTGTACCAATGACACCTGGAAGATGGAGGATTCTAAAGAATGGGTTCAGGGAACTACAAAGCAAACTAAAGATGAAAAACTCCATGGTAGTATTTCCCAAGATACTGCCTGTGCCATGTATTATAGTGCAACGGTAACAGGAGATCAGAAAGGTTAATACATGGCTGAAGATGTGGTGTAGAAAGAATGGTTTAGGGTTTTTAGAGCAGCATTCTCATTTTCCTACAATTCAAGTACAATCTTTATAGTGTTTATATAATGTATCTGAAAGGAAGAGGATTGGCTGTGTTGAAGTAAGGAATGGTTGGATAAAGATAGATGATGTGTTTTTGTTGCAATAGAAAAAATAAATAGATAAACTCTGCAACAGTGATGGCATGGCAAGGACTTATAATAAATGTGTGCAAGAAAAAAAAACATGTTGTGCCTACTACGATTTGTTCTCCAATCATCAACATTGATTGCTTGATATTCCACTAAGAGACTAAGCATCTAATCACAAAGTTAAGATTTTCCAGCATTTTTGAAAAACAAAAGTGCCATTCTTTGAATTATTTCAGAACTAAATGGCTTTAAATTAGAGTTGCTGTCAGACATCCTTCCATTATCAATTATAAAAAAAAAAATCAGCATAATTAAATAACTACTATTATTTTCACAAAGCAACTTCCTTAAAGGACCACTATAGGCACCCAGACAACATCAGCTTAATGAAGTGGTCTGGGTACCAGGTCCAGCTAGGGTTAACCCTTTTTTCTATAAACATAGCAGTTTCAGAGAAACTGCTATGTTTATATTAGGGTTAATCCAGCCTCTAGTGGCTGTCTCATTGACAGCCGCTAGAGGCGCTTGCGTGCTTCTCACTGTGATTTTCCATAGGACAGGAATTGTGAATGCTTTCCTATTGTGGTGGAATCTCGGTAAAAATAAATTTAGTAGGCCGAGATTACCACGTGGCATGTGTACGTGCATATGCTGACGTATCGATCAGTTGGTTGCACGAGGCAAGATACGATCAGTAGTGTACGGAGCATGTGCAAGAATACAGGATGTAGTATTCCCCTCCTCCATTGTGCTGGACAAGCCATGCGGTCAAGCAGGAAGTTAATTCTTATTTGTAATGATTGGTCAAGAGAATGTGCGGGTGGAGCTTAATATGGGAGGAGTTATGTGCCTATATAGGGAGCCTGCACTATTGTTCAGGGCTCAGAACTTGCTGTATTTTTGGTGACATTAGTCCCTCTGAGTCCCGATCGGTGATCCAATAAAGAATCTCTTCCTTCCTGAAGAAACCTGTGTCCATCCCTCTGTGCTTTGCTTCCGTCAGTTTCTCCGGTATCATTTGGTGCATTGGCCGGGAAGCTCATCGTTCAACGGTAGCTGAGAGGCAGAGGCGTGAGACGGTCTATCTTTGCCCACGTTCTCTACGGCTGCACCCCTGAACTTCTGCGTGGACCTCCCTTCGTCTCGGCGCCACTGGTCTGTTGTCCAGGAGATCATCGGCCTCTACGTAAGAAGTGCTGGGGTGTCCCCGTCGATGAGTGTGAACTCAGGTTCAGGAACGAGGAGGTAAGACAACTGCTGTTTTAGACGGCAGACCCACTAGGGGTATACCGATTGTGCGGTAGGCCCAAAAGGGGTTTAAATCTGTGTATGGAATCTGCCCCCTCTGTCGGAGGGAAGGAGCGAAGGCGCACCGCTCGATCGAACGCTCTTTAGTAAGACCGTTTGATCTGGTTAGTCAGGCGGGGTCCTGTGTAAATAGCCCTAGCCGGACACCGGTGTCTTGTCTAGACTAGCGTTCTAGGGTGTATATTACGTTCGCTAGGTCGGAGGGACCGGGAGACTAAGCGGCGCCTGTGTAAATTCGGTTCGCTAGCTCTCAACCTATCTTGGCTAAGTGGGAAGGCGTGTAAATTTGGAACCCACTAGACTTTTGATAGAGTAAATAGACTAGAAGGGCAATTTTGTAAATTTCGCCCTCTAGTTCGCTATATGTGGTGTTTGGGCAGTGTGGCTAACCAAAACGGGTGTATATAGTTTTAGGTAGTCCATTCAAGGTACTGGCCAATAGTTTAGTTGGGATTGTAAATGTGTTAAAGATTGTTAGTAAAGTGTATATCTTGTTAGATAGCGCGAGCTCAGCCGTCTAGCGAGAGTGTTAATAGTGTGTTGCTGTATCATAGTGCACGGTACCATAACCCTGTATATTTACTGACACTGTATATAAGTACTAATCATTGTCGTCTATTGCATGTTTAACACCGTAACCACTAATAATTGTATTGTGACCTTAAATTGTGCTTTGACCTATGCTAACCGTACTGTAACCGATACTAGTAAAAGACGATGTTACTGGGGTGTGTTATAGACGGGTAATTCATATATAGAGAATTATAGCGTGGGTGACTGTATAGTTTCGCCAAAGGGCATAATATTGATTATTTAGTGACTGGTGTAACAGCTGTGTGTGTACGGGAATTCCCTGAGTGATTATTGTGTTATTGTGTACGTTTCACTCGGTAACTGTACCACGTGGTGCTGTTGCCAGAGGAAACGGGTGTGACTGTTGAATAAGAACGCGTGCATAGTATTCGTTGTCAACGACGTTCCATTGATAAGTATGGGCGCGTCAGAGTCAACGATTTCGGATCCCTTAGGTTGTATGGTAAAGAATTTTAAAAAGGGATTCAAAACATGTGATTTTGGGGTTAAAATGTCTCCTGTACGTTTGGTCACTTTGTGCACTAGGGAGTGGCCTATTTTGGTTGCGGCATGGCCGCCGCGTGGCAGTTTGGATCCAACCCTGGTACAGCGTGTACACGTGGCTGTGTCAGGTAGGCCTGAACTTTACGGACAGTTTCCATACATTGATTGTTGGGGGCAGGCCGTAAACGACTCGCCAAAATGGATCCGGATATGCCACGAGGAGCAATGTCGCCTCATGGTGGCCAGGACTTGTTTGTCCACTAGGACTGGTGTTAGGCCCATTTTGGACACGCCCCCTGAGTCCGAGATCCCTTTGCCGCCTCCTTACTTTCCTTTAAGAGGAAGTGACGCGAATGCAGGAAGCTCTGCACCCCTTCCCCTATTGCCCCCATCCACTTCCGCTTCCTCCTCCAGTACAGAATCCACCCCCCCTCGTATTAAAACTCCCCTTCCGGAACCAGGACCAACCCCCATTAGATCTGAATATCCTGATTTGGCGCCACTTCAAACTTCCGGTCAAGCTTCTTCTAGCTCGGCTCGGAGTATACTATTCACTAACTTTTCCCAAAATCAAGTTCCCACATCCTCATGCCCTATTACCTCTCGACCGGAACCTTTAACTGACGCCCCTCCACGTAGCCCCATACTAACCCGACAACTGACCGGTACCCAACAATTAAAACATTATCAGATGCCTCTTCGTCTGAATCCTGGGTCAGCCTATATCGATGCCGCAGGTCAAATGGCACATGCTGACCCAGTCTTCGTATATGTCCCGTTCACGACTACCGATCTCTTGAATTGGAAGACCCACAATTCCTCGTACACTGAGAAACCACAAGCTATGACCGATCTGTTCACCTCGATAGTTCAGACACATAACCCGACATGGGCTGATTGCCAGCAGTTATTAATGACATTGTTCAATAATGAGGAAAGGACAAGGATTAACCAAGCGGCCATTAAGGCGCTAGAGGAGAGAGCCCGTGCTTTAAATCAAGCCAATCCGGCAGCATGGGCCGCAACACATTACCCTAACACCGATCCTGACTGGAATGTAAATGGCGCAGATATGGCTCAACTTAAAGCCTATAGAGATGCTATAATTGCTGGCATGAAAGCCGGAGGGAAGAAAGCTATTAACATGTCGAAGACAGTTGAGGTGATTCAGAAAAGTGATGAAGCGCCCAGTGTCTTTTATGA